AGACTTGTGTCTGCAAGTGTCCTCTGCAGGGACAGCCATTCAGAATTCTGCAGCTGAGAACTATATCTTGTTTAGTCCTTAGTTGATGCATGGTTTACTTTATCGTTGTTCCTCCTGGAACCTAATTTGTGAATTGTACATTAATTCTACTCTTTATGTACTTAATGATCCATGCCAAAGAAAATAATTTTCACCTTTACCAATCGCAATGTTCCTTTTACAAATACATTCTCTTACTTAATACATAATACACTTAATATCTGTGGTTTTGTATGTGAAACTGAGAGCCAAGTGGAAGAGCCTGGAACCCTCAGAAAGGATTTCCTCTAATATTATTAGTCCTACAATGAAGTTATCTTGATTTTTGATTCCTACTTGTGATGCTGTTTTTGTGTCCCTCGTAGTTCAGGATTATGATGGCTTCATGGTGAATTGTTCATTTAATCATTATGAAACATTTCTCTTTTCTCCTAATAATGCCTTTTTGCCTTAACTTCTTGTTTATCATTTTCTATCCCTTATTTTCAGTCTTTATGTCTAAGGTAGGTGTCTTTATTTTTATATTCAAGGCAGGCTTTAATTTATCCACAGGTTTATCAGTTTTTGTGTAGGTATTATTTCTCTCAACCCACATCTTCCATAAGGGTTTAATTTCCTTTTTCTGTAGTAGATTTTGTAATGATTGTTGCTGGGCAGGTGCTCACTGCCCGATGTGCATAGAATCCAATACTGTGATACTGGCTTTGAGAGAAGAAAGAGCTTTATTGCATGGCTGACCAGCAAGGAGACAGGAGACAAAGCTCACATCTTTCTGCCGGAACTGGAGTTGGTACAGACTTTTAAGGAATTGGGAGTGAAAGTGGTTATGTAAATTGCTATCTTGGTGGAATCCAATTGGGTGGTGGGAGTGTAAGGATCTTGTAAGTCTGGTATGCTACAAACCAGGGGACTCTTTGCTTCTCATTAGGTTCCCTGCACCGCTTGCATTATGTTGAGTTCTGTAGTCAGGGAACTTTTTGTTCCTAGTGCTGCTCGAAGTCCTCTGAGGGCAAGGTTTTCATCTTCTGCGCATGCTCTGTTTTCTGCACATGCTCGCTGAGATACAACTTACAAAATCATTTTCATGGATGGACTTCAATGGTGATGGGTAAGTCCAAGGTTGTTCATGATTATCAGTATTAGCAAGTTTTCCCAGTCAAGATTTTTCTTGAAAATGTTTTTACTTGCTCTCATTCTTGGATGGTAGTTTAGCTGGACATAGACTTTTAAGATTGAGTTTCTTTCATCAGAGTTCTTTGAAGATATGGGTCCACTGTCTTACAGCTTCTGAGTTTGATCTGAGATATTTGTTATCTCTTATTGTCCTTCTGTTGTAGGTAATTTGTCTTTTTTCTTTGGTGTTTAAGATGTTTGTCTTTGTCTTCTGTGGTGTTCTGTATACAAAATTTGACACATATGTCCTAGAATGAATTTTTTCTGTTAATTATTTTTGGGAATTAAATCCAAAGTTTCACATTTTGGAAAATTTCAATAGAGTTATGTTTCATTATTTCTTAATATATCTTCTTATCCAGATTTTCCTCTTCTTACTTCTTGGAGCTGCCACTTAGATTATTTTGAACCTTCTAATTTAGTACTCCATGCCCATTAACCTTCAGCATATGTTTTCCATCTTATCTTTTTGGGCTGAATTCTAGATGATTTCTTTGTATCAGCCCAACAACCTACTAATTATATCTAATATTTTGTTTAGCTGTCTTATTTTATATATCTTTCTAGAATTTCTGTTTGTATCTGTCCAAATCTACCTATTTTGTTTTCAGAGCATAATTTTGTTTCAGTATGGCTTTTAGATCTCTTTTAATCCTCTTAGTAACTTTAAATATACTACTTTTGTTGTCTCATGTTGTTATATTATTTCTTTTACTTTGAGTGCCACTTCTATTTCTTGTATTATTGGACTCTCCTTTATGGATTTGTTTGTTTTGTGTTTTGTTTACAAATTTTTCCTGTAGACTAAACTTCAGCTGGGGTTGTTTTCTCCCTACAAGTCCTATGTACCGTAAGCAATAGATGAATACCTACACGGCTTTTTGTCATTCCCTTCTGTTGGGGACCTTTGGTCTTACATCAGGATCCCCACACTTTCCAGGTTATATACATTTGGATTCTATGCATGAGCATGACAAAGGTTTGAGGAAAATACCCTTCACTTCCCTCTACCCACCCAGAGCCCAGAGCAGTTACCACGTTTCTGTCCTGTTTCTATAGGACTGTATGCAGCTTTTTAATCATCCTCGTATTGGGCTTGTTTAGAGTCCTAGCTTTATGGAGAATCCGCAGTTTCATCTCCATGGTTTCACTGGATCTGCAGCTATGTGCATGTGCCTACCATACCTTCATGAGCATTAAAGCCTCAGCTTCCTATTCCCAGGGCCTACCCAGGCACGCTGTTCTGGGTCTGTCGGCATCAGCCAGACCTGATTATTCTAGCTTCGACTTCCCTCTTTATGTTACCATCTGGGGATTTTCCTTTTGCTCTTTCATTAAATTTTAAATTTCATTAAATTATTTATCTTTATTTTTCATATACTTTTTGTCTGGCCTTCCTAATTGTTTGTTGCAGAAGAGGTGGTCTACATTAAACTTTCCCTCCATTTTGCTGGAAATGTTACCCCATTCTTTCCTATGCAGTTTTCCCCAGGGTTGAACTCATGTTTTGTATGCAACTTAAGGCCTTGGTCTTCCACTTACTATTATAACAGTAAGATTTTCTCTGTTATTACGAACCATGGACACAACTTAATTGGTTACCCAGTATTTCCTTGCATGCGTGTCCCATAAATTATTTAACCATTTTACTATGTTTTGACATTTAGGTTGTTTATAAGTTATGTACTCCCATAAATAAAGCTGCAGGGAACATTTTTGTGCTCCCATTTTGTTTTCAGACTATTTCCTGAAGATTGAGTTGAGGACGGAAAATTTTAAGCATTTTATAACACTTTTTAAAAAGTAGTATTTATAGGCTGGTTCAAGCGTGTGTTTACATGAGTGCTTAAATTGAGCTTGTTAAAAATCACTCAAATTTCAAGTAACCAGAAGAGGGAAGACTGGATAAATATTCACAGATTATGACCAGAAGATGTAATTAGTTTTAAACCATCATTTCCCAACAGGTGTCTATTTCTGCCTTGAATACTTCTAGTGACAGTCATTATGCACCCTTTCTTGGCAGCTTGTTCCACTAGTTAATTTTCTAATAGTACTGCTATAAAGATTTTCATAATATTTAATCTAAATTACCCCAAGCTTTCATTTGAGCTATAAATATGTATCTGTGCCCTCTCACCCACACATTTAATAATTAACAGCTAATTGGTATCTATGTAAAAAAGTGTAGCTGGTAGACAAAAAAAGATCATGTGTTCAAATTTCTTCACATAAAGAAATGAAAGCTTCAAGAAGTAAAACAGAAAATGTAGCCCAGAAATAGTATCAGAGAACTTCAAAGAGAAATAAATTATCTAGCTGCCCAGCTACAGGCCCAAACTGGCCAAAGATCAATAGTAGTTACAAAACATTAAGTCTTCTGCCTTCAGGGAAGCAACTAAAATCTCTACCAGCAATTAAATAGCCCAAAGCAAGAATGCGAACCAATTGATCAAAGTTATAGGGAAGCAGATTTTGGCTTAGTGTAAGAAGGTCTTTCTAAAACTTGGAGCTATCCAAGCACGTAATGAGGTGGTGAATTCCCTAGTATTTCAGGTCCTTCTGCAAAGTTGGATTGTTTTCATCAGCATGTTATAAAGGAGATTCTCACATCAGTGGCATTCATACATTTTTTAGAATTATTTCTTCAGACAAAAACTTATGGTAAAAACTCATTATATAAAACGGAGCTGCTCTGGTTGAAGCATGAGCTGATCCCATGCATGTGACAACGTTCTTAGGGCCCAAGTGGACTGTAAGGCAACATAGAACACAGTTTAAAAATCCTCTGATTCGGAGAATTTGACCAGATGACCTCCAAAGTAACCCCATGAGCTGAGATTTCTCTCTTTCTTGCGTGTGCATGTGTGTGTGTGTGTGTGTGTGTGTGTGTATGTGTGTACGTGCGTGCACTAAAGTGGAGTAAGGGAACTGTTTGGTGGAAACCTCATAATATTTTGAAAATCATAGTCTGTACTGTCTGAGTCAGAATCTGTATCATCTAGGATTTGTGGTTTCAAGTGTGAACTCAAAATGACAATGGGACCAATGGCATGAGCTTTATTCCTGTGTCAACTAACTAACTTTACCATAGTTCATGTTTATATTTTTTGTACCTCAGCCCTGATAAGAGGCATTTAAAGATAATAATTTTCATGAATACTTACTTTTGGCAGAAAATTCATGCACCTAGCACAAAAATCAAAATATATAGCTGATATTGTAGAGGAGGAAGACATTTTGTCTACCTGCTCTGGGTCCTTCTGGCCAGACATCAACTTAAATTCACATGAGATGGAATAAAAGGAGAAAATTAAATAAAGCTTTATAACATGTTTATGTGGGAGAGGCTCAGGCAAACTGAGCAACTCACCAAAATGGCAGAAGCTCTCCCCTTAAATACCACCCTCAGCTAAAGACAAAGGAGAATTTTGGGGGTTGGGGGAATCAGTTATGGGAGGTTACCAGAAAAGCACAGTAAATAAGAGTAAGGTTGTTATGCAGATTTAAGTCCTTATCTTCCAAATTAATAAGAGTTTCTAGAGATAAGTCATCCCCCCTTCTTCCTGGTGCAGAGAGGGAGACACCTTTACAGATGGAGATTTCCTTTACAAATGCAAATGTCTCTTACCAAAGGATAAGTAAATTCTACTTTTCAGAGTTTCTTTCCTGTCTGCAGTTTTTAAAAGTAACCAGCCTAAAATAATCCTCATGCCCAAGAGGCATATCTTGGTGTGGCCAATTCCAGTCCCCCACAATATAAAGTGAAGAGTAATTTTATATCCAACCTTGTTCTGAGCTATCCGGGTCTCCCCGAGTCAATGACTCTTACCAGCTTCTTTCGTGTATACTTACATAGATATTCTGTCTCTTGGCAAACACACATACAGTTTTCTTGTTTTCATACAATCACTATATACATTGTTTTGTCATAGAATTCTGAAAATAATAACCTTAGGGAATTGTCACCAAGGACTCCATGATTCAGCTACATCTCTATAGTTGGCACCTCACACAGAAACATGAAATCCTGAAATGTTCAAAGTGGTGGTTGTTTAACTGGCCTCAGAGCAAAGACCCCAGCTGATGCAGGATGGGAATGTAGAATGAACAGAAAAATCATTGTTTTTGGAAGCCACTGAGATTTGAGGTTATTTATTATTGTAGCATAACTTAGCATATCCTGACTGTACTGTGTCTCTCAAATCACTATCTACCAAAAGGAAGTTATGGAAAATTAAAATCACAAATTGATAATAACTTTTCATAAAATTTTAGTGAATTTATTTCAGTGAAATTTCCAATAAGTGGAAAGAAAAAAAGATAAGAAATCCCTCTTCATTCCATCAACTGAAAATACCATATACTGACTTCTACAATTTTAATGTGATCTCTGATTAATAATAAATAATGGGCAAAGTAAATATTATTTTCTCTGGATTGTATCAAAATTTCTACGAAGAATGTTAATTTTCTTGGCTTGGCTTTTAGGTTTAACCCTCTCAATGCTCGAATTTTAAAGAAATAGGCTGCTAACTGGGCTGAATAAGAGAGAAATAAGTATTTCTACATTTCTATTGTAATTTGAGTACTCTCTAAAAGTTTTTGCTGTGACTAATTTGAGACTATTTTGAAGAGGATATTCACGATAGCTCTCATCAAGGAGTTTCTCTCTCCTCTCTCTGCTCATTTCAGATGAGGGTTCCCAATTGTCTTCTTCTGCAAGCCTCAGGCCAATTACACTTATGTGTTCATGGGTCTTTCCTCGAAAATGGATAAATAATCCTTTGTCTCAGTTCCTATTGTCCTTTCTGTTTACCTGTGTCTCACTTATGTTCTTCCAAGTGTTTCTGTTTATGTCCTCATTATCTCATACCATTCTCATGTTCCTGTTTGTACCAAAGATTTCTGAAATCCGTACATTCACATAGTAAAGGCCTCTATACAGTGATTTTGCCTCCACCTCCCCCAACCAGACCTTGATTGCAAGTGCCACTTCCTTCCTCCCACAGAGCCTCAGAAGATACTCTGTACTCTGCCTCCCTTTGCTGGGTCATTTCATTATAAGATAAATTCTAATGCTAAAGTTGAAACAGCATGACTCAGAGAGTGATATGCAAAAACGTTGGGCTAAAAAAGAAAAAGCCAGCAAGAATTTGGGATAGAGAAGGAATTCCATGTGAGGCAGCTTAAAAGGAGGAGAATGAAGTCGACTCAGAAAGAAAAACAGAAGTGAGAGAAGGAGGGGAAGAAGGAGAGGGATACATACAAACAAAGCAGGTGAGAGAGAGGACAGAAGCTTCCGTTGGATGTAGGGCAATGGGGAAGATTTAGGAGAAAGCCAAGAAACGGACCTCTCTCCAAGTAGACATCTGGAACTTGTGATAAGGGATGACAGATTCTCTGAGAAGGCCATAAGGATACCCCAAGCTCATTTTTGTATGCTGTGTAATTCTGTCTGTAGTTAGCTATATGGTTGAAGTACTTGAAATACTTTTATACCACAATGACTCCTTCACTTATGAGGGGTTGATATTTTTAGTCACTCAAAAAAATACAAGGAATAATGTGTCAAATAAGAGGTCTTGATGGAATAATAGGAGGTGTGACTAGGGAAGACACCCACAGCGTAGTGAGTGGTGGTCAGCAGGAGCTTTGGCGCCGCATGAGCACTGCAGTGTCGGTAACTCCCAGAATGTTGTGAGGATTAAACAGAATTGCAACTATGAATGCTCCACGCACAGTCGTGGTGCATAGTAAGAACTCCATATCCTTTCCCAAAGAGGCCAGTCATTGTGTTAAGTCAGGAAGTTAAGTGACCAAGAGTGACTGCATCAGGATCTGTCACCTAACAAGCCAGTCAACTCTCTAGGACATTCCTGCATCTGGAACACTTGGGGAAAGAGCTGCATTATAGTATAGCAAAGGGAAATGATGTTTAGCAATGTCTGCCACAGGCTACTTGGCATTTTAATCCTCAAACATTTCCATCAGATTGTATAGCATATATAGAAATATACTGTATATGTAGAAATATATACGGAGCTTCAGAGAGTTGAGGTAACGTCCCCAAGATCTCTTCCAGTAAATTTCCAGTTGGACTCCGATTTAAAGCTGGGTCTGTGCCCAAAGTTTAAGCTGTTTTTCATTACACTGTGCTTCCATTTTTTGTGGAATTATGATAACAGTGAGGAAATTATCAAAAAAGGCAACGTTTTATTTCATTCTAATGGAATCAACAATTTATCTCATTCTAATTACGTTATTCAGTCTCTATTGGGGACTTACATCTCCAACCAAAAGTTTATGTCCTGAAATACTTTTACAGACTCCCTAGAAATTTTGGAAAATTTGTATCAAGTATAGAATGGGACTGGCCGCTGGCTTCACACAAACCTACTTCTTTTAGATCCATATGCTTTTTATGGAGATTTTTTCATAGCAAGTCTTTCTTCTAATCTAATTTTTGTAAGATTTGCTTTTTGAATAGAAACTGTTTGTTTACCTTGAATATTTCCACACAGTTTTTGGAAAAACACAGACCAAGCATTTATAAAGCAGACTCATATATGGGATTTTCATCCTGGGACGTCCTGTTTCGGCAGCCTGCACCTGCCTCCTTCTCTCTCCCTGCCACATTGTTGAAGGCAGCGCTCCGCCGCAGTTTAGATCTGTGCGGTGTAGGATGTGCTTTAAGTCCAGAGTTTCCAACGTTGCTAGATCTGAAAGGGAATTTGGAGAGGATTTATTCTAGCCCAAACATCCAGAAAACAGACTCAGAGAGATGAACTTTCTTGCCCAAGAAACTAGGGCAAGCTAGTTAATCGTAGACAGCTAGTTAATCATAGAACAAAATGAAGCATATTGTATTAACATATAAACTTGTAAAATTTTCTTACCAAGGAGAAAAACAAAGGTGAAAATACAAAGAGGGAGAGAGAGGATTTTCTGAAGTACAATTCTCATGATGTAATTTGTTGAACTCTGACGTGGTCAATGACTGTTACTGTATTTCCATTTCAAGAAGAGGGCTAAGGAAACAATGACTCAGGGTGAGCAAAAGCGTGCTCTCAAAATGCAACCTGTGTTCACAAGGCACTGAGGATTCAGTCGGGCATTCTTCTGAGGGTGTCTGAGCCATAGTTTTGGGCTGATGAGACTCTGCTAGCATGAAATCAAATGTTCAAGTCAGGATGAATGAAAATCTGAATTCACAAACACAATGAAGGGCTCCACTACATGTTTCCTTTAGATTGTGAGTTCCTCTAGTAAATTTAAAATAAGGTGTGATTTTTTTGGATATTTGCCCCAGGTTTTGGAAACAGCTCTGTGCTTGAAGTGCCACTCATTCTGTGAGTGTCTACTGCCTCGAATACTAGATGATTCTAGTGGAAGAAGCACTAGGCGAAGAGTCATAATCCTTGGGTTCCAGTTGAGTGTGTCCACTTACCAGCCTGGGCAAATCGCTTTGCCTAATGAGGACCTCTACTCTGCCTTTAAAACCAACATAGGGTATGAAGCATGGTTCTTAGGGTATAAAGGAGAGAAAACAAACTTATAAACAGAATAGGGAATTTGTTTATTTGTCATATAACTAAAACCCCAAGGATGATGCTGGCTTTACACGAAGCTGAACACAGGAGCTCTTTCTCTGGGTTGGACACCATTCTTAGGAAGGTGTTTTCCAGCAGCTTCAGGCTCATTTTTGTCTTCTCAGTAATCCTAAAGGATGAAGCTACCTCTAACCTGAGAGCTGTCGTCAGAGCCCTGACCTGGGTCTTGGGCTCTGTTTGATCTGCTTTGAGTCACACACTATTTCCCTACCTAATTAGTGCATCCAGGGAGACTGAATAAAATAAATGAGTTGACCAGCTACCGTTACTATTTTAGCCAATGGCAGGGTCAGTTCCTCCTGAATCACAGGCAGTGGAGGAATTGTGTTACCTTCAGGCAGACCAGGGCCCCAAAGAGGAGAAAATAGATGGTGGGAAGGCAAAGCAACAAATTTCCATCACAAATGGCTAATCATTTTCTCAAGAAGCCTTCAAATTTGATTATCAGTGGAACTAACATTCAATGAGATGTTTTTTAAAAATCCCATATATAAAATGTATTGAGGTAGAGCTGCTCTGTTTAAAGCTGGAGAGGGTGCTGGAGGCTTTCTGCTGAGCTGGGCTCCCTCCCTCTCCCAGGGTAGCCTCTGAGTGACTCTTCCAGGACTTAAAGGAGGAGAATTTGAAAGCCACCAGACCAGATGATCTCTTAGGAGACTACTAAATAGAACATCCGACTATTGCATCTCTTCCTGACTGAGTCATAAGCTCCCTGTGGGAAAGCCCTCAGCCTTTTCCCTTCAGCTCTCATTTGCTCTTGTCCTCTGCTCTGAGTATCCGCTCATCAAAGGACCACTTGTTTTTATGGGGATACACCCATTTTTCCACAGTACCAGCCCTTAAACACCTTCCCCAGTCTAATCTGCCCCCCTCTAGCACCCAGAGTGCTGAGAAAGCTGTAAGATAGATGGCATTGGCTTCTTTTCTCCCCGCTCAACAGACGCAAATTATTCCTTGCTGTGGAGGTAAGTGCTGCTTACCAGTCTGCTCTACAGAGATTTTGGGTTTTTTTTTTTTTTTGCAAATGGTAAAGACATTAAATCTCTTTGCCTAGATGCTCCATTCCATTTCAGCACAATGAAGAGAGAAGACTAGGGAGAGTTTTAGTCAGATCTGGCCCTTGAGATAGCAATAAAAGTCAGCTGCCTAAGCAGTAAATGGCCCTGTGAAGCACTCTCTGCCAATTTCCACCAAACTCCCACGATGATTTCCTCTTCCCGTCCCACAACTCAGATTTAATATT